ACACAGAGCATCGGTAAACTGCCACAGTCAGTCCTCTGGAATCTTGAGATCCTACATTTCACTGAAGTGGGAGTCGCGTGCTAGAGCGGTAATCGTCGACATATATGGGTATCAAGCTACGATTAAACATTTAAAGAGACTTCCCACAAGAAAGGCTGGCTTGCATCACGTATCTATATAACTTCACGATGCACCAGGGGAAGGAAAAACAACCCAAAGGTTTTCCAGATTTGGGTAGTGCCAAAATAGTTTCTAAATAGAGTAACAAAACAGCCATTACATAAAAAAAGTGTGTATCATTAAGTGTTAGCATTAATCCCCAGAAGTTCATCCAAATAATCCCGCCCCCCTCCTGCAAAGAAATCAAAGATAATACATCAAGTATCTGAGCAACAACAACAAAAAAAATATCAAGTGTCTACACGTCTAATATGCATAACTGATACACTTTAACAATTAACAAACATGGGAATGTTATCACAGCACTGAAAACTTGCCCTAGCAGAGAGATTTTTCCAAAGGTATTTGTAGCATCAATAATTAAAATTCTTATTTGAATAAGCCATTGAGACAAATGCCCAAAATAATTATAGAAATACTTTAATATCTCCATGCAAGGTGTCTTTGCATTTACAAATTAAAATATTTCATCAAGGAAAAAGGCCTAAAGCAAATCAATAAGAATTAATCATACCACTCAAGCAAAAACTGACATGCGGATTATTTACGCAGATGATTATTTGCCTGCGAGTTCTTCCAGAGGCTGCTGTACAGATGATAGTTACAAAGCCCAAGACCCTGCTACTAATCAGTGCGGTCTCAAGCCTGTAATTTGTAATACCCAGGTAAACTGCTCACGTAAACTGCAGGAACAAAAATGGAGGGAGGAGGGCGGAAAGGGACATGAAAGTGATTGAAACAAATCACTGCAAGTGATTCAATTCTAAAGTGATTGAAACAAGTGATTGAAACAAATCACTACAAGGAGCTTAGGGTCATCATAAAACCCCAGTCACGGTTTCTCAATTTTCTTTGGATGGAGGAGGGGAAAGGGGTTTGCTTATAAAAGTTCTTATAAAAATGTAGTCAAAAATACATGACCAGCCACATGTGGCTGACTTCATCTGGGAGGAGCTGATGATACCTTTCTACAAGAGTAGGAGGGAAGAAATGAAGTCACACTTTTTGCCTGTGTAGAACCTGATACTTCAAGACAGGAGTCACCAGCTCATATACCCTGTGCAGAGACATATGAAACTGGGATCTGACAATCACCTCTACTACAACAAGTGAGTGTTTACGTCTCTGGCCTAGGTCTTGATTCCTACAGGAAAAAAAGCTGACAAGTCAGGATGTTTTGTATATTTAAAAAAAAAAAAAAACCCCACACACACTCTTTTGAAACTGTTTCCTCCAGTTCCCTCATGAGCCTATATCCATCTGTCATCTCATTTTAGAGCATATGCTTGGGAAATCTGGCAGAGTGGGGCAGGTGGTGGGTACAGTTTTTTTGCTTTGTGCCTGAACAGGTAGTACAGATCCATGAAGGGGAGTACCAGTTGCACTGCACTATTTAAAAAAAAAGGAAGTACTTTTCTTGAAGTTAGGTCAGTTTCTAAATCATTAAAAAAATGCATCCCAAGAAAATAAAACAGATTTGACTGTAATTATCCACTCCGCAACAGGCAGAAAGAACAGAGGCCCCAATCCTGCCAAGTTGTAAGTACCTGTTTAACTGTAATCATGAACAGTCTCACTGTTAAATACCACTAAGTGCTTGCCAAAAAAGGGCCACAGTAACAAGGAAATTAGTATCTTTATATCACCTTTAAAAGTGCTATTAGTCTGATTAGCAAAGGGTTGGGCTTTTTCCACTGTTAAGATACCAAGGCAAATTCAAATTTGCTCACAACCCTGATGTCAGATCAATGAGATTCTATACAAATCCACAGGAACCCACAAGCACAGTCCAATCTAGCTGTAGGTTAAGATACCTGACAGTTTAGTTTAATGTTAAAATATAAATTCTGTCTAACCTCTAAAGACAGCATTGGCCAAAATGACGTGACAACACTAAAGAATTCCTTAACAATTGTTTGGGGGGGTGGGGGGGGGGTTGGGGGATAGGGCAGGAACACAGATATCAGACTTCAATATCACAAGAAAAAAAAGTCTTCAGGTATTTCAGCCCATGGCAGGCCACCTATTCCCAAAGGTAAAATATATGATGCATGGCACGCTAGCTCATGAATGACACTTTGTGAGCAGCTAAGTGATTCAACACTGTAAACCATACTAGCAAAGTAACGTTGGAAGCAAAGACGAGTGCTGAAGAGAAAGAAAAGTCTGAAGCAAGAGAAGAGTGAAAAAAAATAAGACGATAAGAACAGCAGAGTTTTTTTAGAGGCTGCCTCATCATTTATTTAAAGAAGCAGAGAGGAATGTATCAGATATCCCAATACAGCTAAACATTGGAGCTGAAGATGTACACATCAGTCACTCAAAACAGTGCCTTGAAGGGGCACTGGGGTCTTCGTCCCACTACAAAACACTCCCAGTCAATCTCATTTCTCCTCGAGTAGCCTTTTGATAATTAGCTTATACGGAAGACTAGGCAGGACATTTCGCTCTCCATTAAGTATCAAGGGAGAACAGCTGTTTTCCTGTCTCAGAGGAACAAACTCAAGAGCCTATCATTTCATGCCACTAATTCCTGAGCACATAAAAATCACAGCAAGAAAAACAAACAAACAAAAAAGCAAATGCAAGTAGACTCGCTCCATTCTAACTTTTCAGTGAAACACAAATGCTATCACACATATTTCACTACTAAGTTAACATTAGCTCCGTGACATCTCCGCTTCCAAAATACGTGGTCGAGTACCGCACTAGTTTGCGGGGAGGGGACAGAGGAAGGAGTTAACTGGAAAATATGTTTTATTGTAGCTGCTCAGCCTTGCACATTTCTACACTCCCACTCACTGGGGAAACATCTCTTTATGAAGTCTGTAAAACATAATTAGTTTGGTTTTGTATAAGTCTGCATCATGGCAGAGGTAAACAAAGTTTTTCAGTTCACTAACTTCTCCTAGAAGTTTTGCATCACTGAAATATGCATATTTTTACTTTTCAGTGGTACACACCTACGCTCGCCTGAACTATTTCATGAAGTGCCTTCTGTCTACGGCACGTTTAAAATGGAAGGCCCAACTTTGAAAAATATAAATGAATAACCACTGGAAAGAGGAAAAAAAAAAAAAAAGAACTGCTCAGTGGGAGCATTCCCTGCTTAAAAGAAAGAGCCCGTGAGTGCCAGCACCGTCATATGCAGCACACGAACAGCACGAAGCACAGCACTGGGCAGAAAGTCTGCCTGAAAACACAGATTCACGCCAAGGGGTGGGGGGGGATGGAGAAGAAGTTGCATTACCTCTTGGGTCCTCTCTGAAGGTTTCTTCCGCAACGCCTGTTTGATCTTGGGGTCCACAGGAGAGGTCATTCTACTACTTGGCTCCTCCAATTATGTAATTCCTCGGAAATAGCTGAAAGGTGGAGGTGGG